GGGGGGGGGGCGTTTTTGACCCTACAAAAGACAGCAGCCCCTGGACGGTATCCATGAAAGTCTCTCCTCTGCCTGAAGGGCGATGCCAGCCAGAGGAAGGGGCATCAGCTGGAGAGAGAATCTGGCTCCATATCAGTCCCTCCCTTTCATCTCTTACTGCAACAACTGGGAGGGACTGTTTCAGAACCCCCCCCCTCCCCCCGCTCTCAGCTTAACTCACAGCCCTTTCCTGGGTTTACCTTTGGTTTCTCAGACGGCCTCAGTTTTACAATGTCTTCATCCGTCACCGCACCAGCTGTTTTCAGAGCAGATTCTGCTGGTGGATTTGCACTTTTCAAGGTTTCCAAAGCAGAATCATCTTTTTTTGATACGTTTGAATTGTCCGGTGCCTCCAATCTGGCAGTTTTGGGATCCTCTGTTTCTTTAGAAGGGGAACAGTCTGAGACCCCTTTCTCCCCCACAACTGCCAGGGCAGCTTGGTTCCCAGGCCCTCTTGCGTGATGGGGCTTGCCCAGAGAACGAAGGTACTCGCTGGATTTGGCAAAGGACATTTTTTTCTTGCGCAGCTGCTGCTGAATGTCTTTGCTGAGGCTGTTTCGCACCACCAACTTTCCTTCCCACTGCTTCAAAAGGTCAGCATTCACTATATTCTTATAGTCCTCTCCCAGGTGAGCTCCAGCGAATCTGCACGTGGCCCCATAAATGCACCTGCCAAATGTCTCGAACAGCAGGCAGCGCTCCCCAAGGTCCGGTGGCTTTGTGGCCATATATTCCTTAAGGTCGTGTAGGAAACGGCACTTTGAGCCATAGAAGCATTTTTCAGTACGTTCCTTTAGTGAGAGAAAGATAGTGCTGTGATGGGGGAAACTGGTAGAAACTAGGTTTGTTTGTTTTTTAATGCATTTTACAGGTAGTCCTTGGCATACGACCATTCATTTAGCAATTGTTCGAAGTTACAATGGCACTGAAAAGTGACTTACAACTGGTCCTCGCACTTATGACCATCGCAGTGTCCCTGTAGTCATGTGAACAAAATTCAAGCACTTGGCAGCATCCTGGGGTCACATGATCACCATTTGCAACCTTCCCAGGGGGCTTCTGACAAGCAAAGTCAATGGGGGAAGCTGGATTCGCTTAACAACCGTGATGATTCACTTAATGACCATGGAAAAAAGATTGTAAAATCAGGCACAACTCACTTAATGACTGCATTGCTTAGCAATGGAAGTTCTGGTCCCCACTGTGGTCGTAAGTCAAGGACTACCTGTATACAGATGACCTTCAATTTGATTCCACAACAAGCAAAAGGTCCTTGTCTCACCAACCCCCTGGCCATCTGTCCCCTTAGCTAATGCATTCTTTTTTCGGACTCGCTGCTTCCTTATCAATTTCCTCTCAAGTCTATCCCCCAGGCTATGAGGAAAGCCATTCAACCTTTTGTTTGCTCTGACCACATGCTCTTCCTGGAATCTCTGTGCTGCTTCCTGCCCACTGTCCAACTTCCTTCTCACCTTTACAGCCTCAGTGATCGTGTCCACCTGCCCTCCTTCCACTCTTTATTCCTTGGTACAGTTTGTGACTTGGCTCCCCTCTTTTGTGCCTGGAATGGCCTCCTCAAACCTCTGCGTGCCAAGCCATCTCTCTTACTTTGGGCCTTTTGTTTAAAGATTTTGCTACAACTATCCAGGCCTTTGGAATAATCAGATATTCCCTCCCCTGGTTGCCAAGCTGGGGGAAACCAAAATCATCCTGAAGCAGGTTTCAGTGAGCCTTCAGTTATGACAGTTTTGCTTATACCGGCCCAGTGCCACTTCAGCTTGCCAACAGAGGGGCTGGTCGTCCATGGTGACCCTTCCCTCCACTGTAGTGCAACAGAGACACTCAAGAGTGGGCTAACTCCCATTACAGCCTCCTACATTTTTACTAGAGTGCACCTGTCTCCTGGCATTGCTTGCAATTTAGGCTCAAGCTAAAGATGGGGGAATTCAAATAGATTAGGGCAGTGTTTTTCAAACCTGGGCACTTTAAGATGAGTGGACTTCAACTCCCAGAATCCCCCAGCCAGCATGGATTACGGGGACAGGAAAAGTGAGGAGGGCATTGCCACCCCTCAGAAAGCTGTGCCAGCAAATAGAGCTGATGTAACAACAGAGGTGGGAAAAGACTCAACTTGGTTGTGTTGGATGGCACTGTTGTGGAAGCAGAAGCAGCCATCCCATATTCCTTAGTGTCCAACCAACCCGTCTTCCTGAGCCGCCTGTGGATGCCTCTTCACGCCAAGGGCGCCCGCATCCATTCTCTGTGGCTTCTCCTCGGTCTGAGGGAGGCAGCAGCAGAAACTCAGGAACAGGGTAACGCAAGAATTGCCCTGCTGGATTGGCCTTATCTGTCCAAAAGGATGCCCTCACTGAAAGTGTTCCTCTGCCATTTCGGCTCCCAGCAACTAGTACCACGGGACACGCCATGATGATACAGAACGTGGTACATAGCTATTAAAACGAAGAGTCGCTTTGTCTGTTTTAAAGCCATCCAGGGAACGCTAGTAGCAGAAATGCAATTTCAAGCCCTGGCAAGTGGATTCATCTCTGTGCACATACCACACACGCACAATTTACCTGAACTACTGAGGGACACAAGCGGTCCTTCTCGTAGTGAGCTGGCTTCATGCACGGACGGCTCTTGTTCTGCCCTCGAAGCCTCTTCCGTCCTTGAGGCTCTTTGATGCTTTCACGGGCAACTTCTGGGGGCCTCTCTTTGTCACACCCATCCATTTCCAACTTCTGTAGCTTGGCAGGGGGTTCATCCCGCTCTGCGTCAAGATGGTTCTCTGCCCAATCTGGGTCATTTCTCAGCTGGTCTTCCTTGTCAAGATAGGTGTGAAATTCCTCTTTTGTAGAGCGATATCTCAAAGGGAGAAAGATTGCAAGTTAACTGTCAAGGCTGACCCCAACTCACCTATGGCTGCTGTTTCATGAAGTCAGAACAGGAAGGGCATTTCAGTCTAGAGACAAGTACGAATGTCAGGCTGCATTTGTTTCACTAACTTGGGATTTTAAGAAACGTCTTTTGCCAAACAATGGCAATATATTTTCCAGAATTATATGCCATCCCCCCACCGCCAAATCTATTAATTGAGCAGGCAATTCCCAAGGTTTTTTTTTCTTTTTTAAGGTTTGCATGTGACCTTCAGTGCTCACTGGACTAAACCATGCAAGTCAGTCATTTCTGTTGGCAGTTACTTGGAACAAAACAGTGCAGAGTCACTGGTTTTATTTTCTTTTATATGATTTGCTTTTTTAAGTGTAAGCTGCACACAGAGGTCTGAAGTCAGGCAGCCCCTAAACTGTGTTAGGTAAATAAATATTTAGTTAAGTAATTTATATGGCCGTCCACTGGCAAATTGCAGCTCTGGACCGCTAACGTAAGATTAAATCCAACACACAGCTGGAAAGTTAATTTAAGCGCAAGTAAAATATTACTATTGGTTGTTCCATCTGTAACTTGTCTTATATTTTGTGTTAACTGTTGTCTTTCACTTGTCGCACACGTGTTTCATTTTACCTCGCTTGGTAAAACCAGTTTGGTTTATTTTACAGCTGCATCTCCTGTGATGGGGCAAACAAAATTCTCAGCCAGATTCCTTCCTCAGGTGGCCTACTTTATTCATCTTATTCCTTCTTAAGGATTTTACTTCTGCGCCAGAGACCGGCCGTAGGGGAGAGACCACTTTTTTCCGGGGTCCTCCTCCACTCGAAAGGGCAAACCCGCCGGCCCAGAAGCGTAGCCAGGTGAGTTTTCCTTGATCGCGAAATAAAACAAGGAAAAGCTCCGGCGGAGAGTTGCGCGGTGGAAGCCCCGGCGCAGCGACGCCGAGCACCGAGGGCCCCTCTGGGTGAACGCGTCTGGGAGAAGCTGCGAGGAAGCGTAACGCGGCCGAAGGGCCGTGCGCTCCCACCCCCTTCAGCCGGCTTTCCCTCCCTGTCTGGGTCCCGGCGCGCTTCCGTTATTGGCGGGGGGCTCCGGGCATCCCGAGGGGGCCATTTCGCAGCGACGCGGTCGCTCCTCGGCGCTTGGGGTGCTGCTTATCCTGCTGCCCCGTTTGGCGCCGCCTCGAGGTCCCGGGGGTCCCCGGCCCGGCGGGCTCCCCAACCC